CTGGACAGCCATCAGGTGGTGCGCCAAGCAACACTGGGGTCAGACCAAAGAAGAAAGCACGCCCAGGCAAAAGAAATAGATCAACCCCGACGCCGCCTGAGGAGCTCAAGTCATGTTATCAATCGACCTCTGACGGAAAGCCAACTTGCTGGTCATACAATTTGGGCAATGGTTGCAGTTTGAATACAACAGGGCAACCACCACGATGTACTAAGGGAGTTCACATGTGCGCCTTTTGCAGGCGAGTTGGCCATTCGTTTCAAAATTGCAAGGCTGCTCCTGGAAAGAAAGAGGGACACTGACTAAAGTCAACAGACCCTGACGGAGCGGAGGTTACAAAGCAGATTTCAATAGAGAGCAAAATTTCAGGTGAACAACACTCTGATGGCCTTCAAGAATGTTTCACTCCGAAAGTTTCTTTGGAGAGCAAGACTACACGCAAACAACTGTTTGAAAACATGTTGGTGCTTGAGGTATTTGCAGGCTCTTCAAACCTCACCATTGAGATCAGAAAAGCTAATCTCAGAGGTGTGGCAATCGACAAAACAGATGGAAGGGCCAAAGGTCCGATTACCGTCTTGGATTTGACAGTGGAGGAGGATGTTTCTTTTCTTTCTGAATTTATCAGGCAAGAGGCGGACAATATTTGTTTAATACACTTTGCACCACCTTGCGGAACATTTTCAGCAGCAAGAAAAAGACGCTTGGCCCCGGCAGTTTTGGACAGGTTGGCAAGCGATGGAATCACACCACCGCAGATTTTGCGGTCTGAGGCTTTCCCAATGGGCCTACCAAATTTACGAGGCCTCGATGCGATGAAGGTGCACCTAGCAAATCAACTTTACTCGGCAACAAACAGATTGGTGAAACTGGCACTGTCGCTAAACATTAGGGTTTCAATCGAAAACCCTACAAAGCCTTTTTAAAGACGGACCAAATGGTAGACTTATTCGAAAGCTGCCCTGGCTACATGAGCAATTTTCACAGCTGCATGATGGGAGGAGAAAGAGACAAGCAAACAGCTTGGTGGTGCAATGATGAATTTTTGAATTCTTTCAATTTGGCGTGCACAAAAGACCACACCCATAAGCCATGGACTCCTTCCATAACTGCAGATGGGGTTTATTACCCTACAAAAGAGGAAGCGGAGTACCCACCTTTGCTCTGTAAAAGAGTAACTGCACTGGTCGTTGAAGAGCTTGAGAGACTTGGATGGGTGCGACCGGAGACCTTCACGGACCAAATTAAGGTCAACCGCAATACAGCTGTTAACTCAGTGGCCATGGGCATTCTCCCCAGGGGACAAAAACTGCGTCCCTTGGTCAGTGAATTCTCAGACTACCCGCGTTTTGCGGTGCTTCCTCACTTTAACGCTGACACAATTGTCAGTAAACAATTGAAAGGAGCAAGGATAACCCATCGGAAACTTCTGACGTGGGGTGAGTTGCGTGTTTCCTCTTTGGAAAAGGTCTCACATGAATTTTTGGGTGACACAAAGGACCTCACAGACTCAGTTACAGTGGAATTCATTACAATTGGGGTTCCACGTGAACCTTGGGATTTCGTGAAGCAAGCGGCGATTGTTGGTCACCCTAGGTTTTTGCCCTACGCTGGAACCCAACAAATGAACGAACTGGTTTCAGCAAACCTAAATTTGGACACTGGAGGTTTGCTTAGCTTGCGTACAGAGTTTTTCAACAAGTGGCTCAAGAGAGCCCAAGACCTGGTTGAAGACGAAAGAAAACTGCATGATGGTTTGTGCAGTCATGTCAAGCAAGTTTTGCATGGAAAGAGACTCCTTTTGCTGCGTGAGATATTGGAGGCCCTTGACTACCCGGACAAGAAACTTTTTTGATGACATAGTCAGCGGGTTTAAGTTGGCTGGTTGGATGCGTGGTTCAAAGGTTTATACTAGCCTTCCTCGACCTCCGAGGATTAGCCTTGAAGCCCTGCTGAAGTCATCAGCAGGGCTGCTATACGCTTAGAAAGGTTGTGGAACCGGAGGATTCTGAACTTCATGCGGCGGCTTGGGAAGAGACTCAGCTCGAAGAAGAGCGAGGATGGATTTGGTCAGATGACAGGGGGGTCTTCAAAGAAAAAATCATTGCCCATCGATTCGGGATCCGTCAAGGCGACAAAGTGCGGGTCATCGACAACTTCAAGCAGTGTGGACTGAATGATGCTTGTGGCTTGCCTGAGAAGTTTGTCTTACATGGCATTGACTACATTGCTGCTACGCTGATACGGGCACTGGTTTATGGACAACTTGGGCCTGGCTTGGAGATTTGCGGAAAAACGTTTGACTTGAAGTCGGCATACAAACAATACCCTATACACCAAGCTGACCGAGACCATTTGAGGATTGCAATCTTGGATCCCCTGACAAAGAAACCAAGATGGTTTGGGCTTAACGCCCTCCCTTTTGGTGCTACAGGAAGCGTTGCAGGCTTCTTACGTGTGAGCTCAGCCATTTTCTTCATCCTGTCGGCGGGGCTCAAGATTTGGTGCAGTGCCGTCTTTGATGACTTTCCAACATTGGCGGCAAAAGCTTTGTCCGATAACACTGAACGATGTGTTGGACCGTTGTTTGACCTGTTGGGCATACAGTACGCACAGTCTGGAAAAAAGTGCCAACAGTTCTCCGAGGAGATGCGAGCTTTGGGGTTAGTGTTTGACCTGAGCCAGTTTGGACAAGGGAAGGTCTTCATCAAACACACGCCCGAGAGGAAGCGTGAATTGGTCGAGCGCTTGGAAGAGATCCTGACTAAAGGGTCGTTGACACCGAAAGAAGCTGAGAGCCTGAAAGGAAGAATACAGTGGTATGAATCTTTTTTGTTTGGAAGGATAGCGAACCTTGCAGTGCATCGAATAGGCAAGCGTGCCTTGTCTAGAGCTTTGAGCACTGATTTTTCTGAAAGAACGAGTCAACGCTGGCCTACCTCTTGAACTGACCGCTGAAACTGAAAATGCGTTGCTAATTTTCACTGATGGTGCCTTTGAAAGTGCCCAGGGGTCTGGATCAGTTGGCGGAATTCTTTTTGATGAGCAAGGGACCCCACTCAGATTTTTTTGCTGAACAGATCCCAGATCTTTTGATGGGGTCCTTGATGAAAGAAGCTGTAAACCCGATCTATCTGATCGAACTGCTGGCTGCCTACCTGGCCGTTTTCTTGTGGGGTGGCCTTCACCCTGCACGCTATGTGGTTTCATATATAGACAACGAAGCTAGCCGGCTTGCACTGATAAAAGCATACTCCTCCACTGAACTTGGTAATGTGATGGTACGGATGTTCGTCCACCTTGAGGACAGCTCTCAATGGAAAGTATGGTTTGGGAGAGTAGGGTCTCACTCGAATCCGTCAGACGCTCCAAGTCGAATGCAGGTTGAAGACCTCTTGAAACGCGGAGTTACTCAAGATTCAGTTGCATGGGACGTGGTGATCATGTCATACGAGGAAACGCTGCACATGCTGGGACGGGGGTGAGTGCGGGTGCAGCATCCGACTCGACCTGTTGGCTTGGCAGGATGACATGTGAGACCACCCCTGTGCTTTGAAAAAAGAGTGTGCAGACTGCAGACCGAGTGATTTTCAAGTGAACCCACCATGAGAATTTTTCTGACAATGCGTTTCAAATTTTTCAGCTTGATCCACGTGCGGATTCAGTTGTGTTTTTGTGAGACGATGTTTTAAAAATTTTTGCGACGTGCGGTCAGAATATATGTCAGCGCATGTCAGAATAGATTCCAGTGGGTCTGTGGGTTTCCCCTTCCTTGGTTTGTTTGTTGTAGTTGGTTTGGCATAGGAAATAAGTTGTTACTCCTGAAAGGATAATAACCTTATTTTCGCCTGCCAAAAATTTGCCCTGTTTTAAAAAGGCAAATTAAACCAACAACAAACATCTTGGAAACTCTGGTTTATTTTTCCATGTCTGTGGTTTTGTTTAACCTTGAGACATGTCTTGAAACCAAATGGAAACGATACGTTTCACATACGATCATTTTGAATTCTGTCTTTCCATGCATTTCTTGGTTCAAGTGGTGGGTGGTGGGTAACTTACTTTGCAGACCCCTCAAAAGTTTGTCCCTCCCACCAACGCCCTCTTTTGAGGGAACTGAACCTTTTTCATGTTACGAGCGGCTCGCCGCGCTGCAGCAGACCATGTGAGGATCCTGCTTCAACAATTGTTGTTTTTCTACCGTGTCAAACTTACAGCCCTTCAGTTGCAATATCAACTGGAAGAGGCGATGGACGACCTGGAAGACTTGGGATTTGATGGACAACTCCTGCTCAGCATTTTGCATGCCACCAACTTGGAGTTACGACGTTTCATTGCCCGCTGCAATCAGGCAATGATCACTATGGAAAACAGAATTCTCTTTACCTTTCTTCGATGATTTCATTTCCTGCCTCACCCACAGCCGTGAGTGCGGGTGCAGCATCCGACTCGACCTGTTGGCTTGGCAGGATGACATGTGAGACCACCCCTGTGCTTTGAAAAAAGAGTGTGCAGACCGAGTGATTTTCAAGTGAACCCACCATGAGAATTTTTCTGACAATGCGTTTCAAATTTTTCAGCCTGATCCACGTGCGGATTCAGTTGTGTTTTTGTGAGACGATGTTTTAAAAATTTTTGCGACGTGCGGTCAGAATATATGTCAGCGCATGTCAGAATAGATTCCAGTGGGTCTGTGGGTTTCCCCTTCCTTGGTTTGTTTGTTGTAGTTGGTTTGGCATAGGAAATAAAGATGACTTCCCTGTTAGCGGTGTCAATGATTCTTGTGTTACCCACAACCGTGCGGACTTGCATCTCATTGACACCTTTTGTGCCATGGTCAAGCTTTTCTTTGGCCAGTGTGAAGCTGCTGGCATTGACACTGAGCTCAGGGCTAAGACCTATGACTTGACCAGCGCATATCGCCATGTTCCAGTGAGGCCAAGCCACTATCGCTGTGCCTATGTGAGTGTTTACAACTGCAAGAAGGGATGTGCTGAGATCTACAGGATGCGTACCATGCCCTTTGGTGCGACTCAGTGTATATTGTTTTCTTCGCTTGGCAAGGTGTCTCTATTCTTTAGCTGTCAGGGGACTTCATCTTCTTACCACCAACTTTTATGATGACTTCATTCTTGCTTCAAAGCCAGGGTTGTGCGAGTCGTCGAAGAACAGCATGGAACTTCTCTTCATGTTCACTGGTTGGTTGTTTGCAAAGGACGGCACGAAGTCCACCTCTTTTTCTTGTCACTGCAATGCGTTGGGATTTGAGTTTGACTTCAGCAGATCGGAGCAGCGATTGCTGGCTGTGGCAAATACGACTCTGCGCAAGGAAGAACTTGTAAGACAGATTACTGCAGCTCTTGACACACTTGACAAACAGGAATGCCTCATGCTGAGGGGCAGGCTTGGTTTTGCTGACAGCTTCCTTCATGGAAGAGTTGGGAAGCTGGTGCTGAAGAAGTTGATTGACCATGCGTATGGAAAAAGTAGTCGCATGGATGGTGAACTCAAAACTGCTTTGTTGGCGATGAGGACACGGCTACAGCAAGCGGGCCATAAACTTGTCTCAGCAAAGCGTTTTTCTCAATGGTTCATTTACTCAGACGCGAGCTACGAGCCGACGGATGGCACCGGTGGTTTGAGTGCTGTGCTGGTAAATGCAGAAGCCCAGGTGACTGCATGGTTTGGTTTTTCTTTGGATGCTGAACCGTGTGCAAAGCTTGGGTCAAAGGAAAAGGTCACTATAATATACGAGCTTGAATTGTTGGCAGCAGTCTTAGCATTGAGTCTTTGGTCTGGCGGTAAAGGGATGAGTTTCTTGTGCACTTTGGAGACAACGATGGTGTGCGTTTTTCTCTGGTAAAGGCATCGGCTGCAGGGACTATTGCTCAGAAACTTATGGCATATCACTTGAAGTTGGAGGCGCTTTGTGGATCACGTACTTGGTTTGCAAGAGTTCCTACAGGATGTAACTTGAGTGATTATCCTTCAAGGGGAGTTGCGCATGGTCTCTTGTTGGATTGCTGCAATGTGGCAATGAAAGCGATGGAAACCTTTGTCAAAGTCTTGGAGTTTCTACACAGCGGTGATGAAGCACTGGAAGTGGGGGGGGCCAGAGTGCTCATCCTCCATGTGTAACAGTGTGAGGTCATTGCAGCATGCCTTGATGACAGTTGACGACTTGATTCTGGAAAAAATTCTTTTTGTTGCACTTCCCAAATTCTTTAGAATCAGTTTCAGTGGTTGATGGGATGGTATGTGTAGCAATCAGTTTGGGTCAATTTTTTTTGCAGATGGAGGCAGCAAACTGATGTAGACGGCGGCTCCGCATTGATGGCCAAAAAAGGATGTGAAACTGCGCTGCCATCCAAGCCGAGATCTTCAGTGTTGGAGTGCTGCAGCCACCAAGTGGTTTCCACGTGTGAAACTGTGCAGTGGGAAGGATTTCTTTGGAGCTGGAGCAGGTTTGCAACCAAAGGAATTTTTCCCTCCAAAACAATCGAAAACATAGGAATCACAATTTTCCAACGACTTGAACCATGCAGCAGAGATCAAACAATTCCCCGCTGATGTCGAAAGACGTGAAAGACCAGCGTGTGTCGCGCGAATCTGAGTGCCATTTCTGACCTGGTTCGACATTTGAAACTCATCTTTGTGTGCACAACAAATGCAAATGACAAGTGCAACTCGGTACTGCAGATTTTTTTTTTGACCTTGACCTGAGGCTGGATCCATTCCGGGGCAGCCGCTATTCAGGCGCTCCAATGGCTGATTTTGAACACAACCAGATCTTGGCCCCACATTACGTCATCTCCGTGATTTTATGCTTGGGTGAGCCGTTGTTGCATTTACAAGTACAAAACAAATAATTGTCCTGCTCGATTTCTTGCACCATCTATGTTTTTTCGTTGTTTCATTTATTGTGCCACTGCACCATGGATGGCTTGGCTTTCCTTTCCTGAGGCTTCATCCGTTTCTCGGCAATTTTTTTTGAGTTGTCGAACATCGTCAAATTCATTTGTTCCATCGGAACTCTTTCCTTTTTTTCCATTTTTTGCGTGAGACATCTTGCAACGGAGCAACAACCCCCTGTTTTGTGTTTGCCTGACCCAGAGTTGTCGCCTGAGGACCATCGAAATCAACGCTTGGGCTGCAGTCTTTGATCGGCTTGGATTCTCCCTCCGTGTCTTTGAGCGCTTCTCAGAGCTGATGAAACGATGGCCGCCACAACCGGCCATAATGCAGTTGTCTCGAATTGAAACGTGTAATGTGATTCTGGATTCAATATGATTCAAGTGTCATTGCAGTTCAATGTCAGCCCTAGACAACCTGCTGGGATGATTAGGAAGGGATCCTTCAACAACTCCATCCGCTTTCCCAAATGGATGGCAGGGATCTCAACAATTTCTCAGTGCACTTGTGGCAGTGCTCTGGGTATATGGTGCTATTGGATCTGGCTGAGGGGCCCATTGCTGGACCAGGCCCTGCAGACTACAAGGCCTCAGACCGGCCTCAGAGGTCGTTTCAGTAGGCAAATCTGTTGAGTTGTTGGTGATCTGTTTTCAACTATAATCCAGCTGCTTTGGTGCCCTGAGTTGTTCACCCACTACTTGGGGATGGGCCGAAATCATCCTAAGACCCCAAATGGATGCTTCAATATGCTTCAGTACGCTTCAATATGTTTCAGTACACTTTAATACGCTAATACGCTTTAATACGCTTTAATGCTTTCATACTAAACATGCTCCAGCCACTCCTTCATTGGCACCTCAACTTCGAGTGGTCAGCCCCAAAGTCACTATAGAGTGCAGCTACGGATCAGATGACTTTTCAGATTTGAGGTGTCAGATGCTGAGACCATCAACAGCAAGCTGCTTCTCCGCAGGATGGTTTGTTGGATTTGTTGGATTTGTTGGATGCGTTCAAAGGATAGATCGGATAGACTACATAGACTCGAATAGACTCGGGTAGACTGACAGACCCAGTGGCTGCCTCTGCTGACAGCATTCCCGAGGAACAAGTCGCCTGTTCGCGTGAAGATAGGCCCGGTGTCCGCACTAGTCCAACCATGTCCAACCACTTGGCATGGCAGCCATGGCGTTCGTTGCTCAGGGTTTTCGTATGTTTTCCTGTTCAGGTGAAGCGGAGCGACGTGAGCCAGTGCTGCAGTCTTAGTTTGGTGGTCAGGGTTGTACCATGTTGATCCATGTTGTACCTGTAGTTTTGATTTATGTTGCCCCTTGTGCCCCTTCATTGTGCTTCAAAGATTTCAAAGGAAAGACATAGCGCCCAAGGATTGACCTCCCACGGCCCATCTATGGTCGGGGACGGCAGAAAGTGAGTCCAATGCACATCATGACATCATAGACTGCGTAGAGGCGAGAAGAGGCGGCTTTTGATGATTCGAAAAGTGAGGAATGAAACCTGTATAACTTGTATAACTCAATACTTCCAGATACTTCAGAAACTGATCTGGACAAAGAATTTCAGTATTGAGACGGCATGTGTGTTTTTCAAAGCGGGCCAAGCAGTTGGTTAACAATAAATCCAACAAAACTTGCTTGCTTTTGAACACTAGCTTCAGCCTACCAATATACGTAGCTATTTCCGCTTCAACATTTCCAACTTTTCCACGTTTCGGAGGGGAATTTATCCAGCGACAAATCTTCATTGAATCACAAAAAAATCCTTTGGATGATGTTTTGAAGATGAACACCTAGTGAAATTGCGAAGAACAAATTAAGAACAGATGTTTTTTTAAAAGTTTTTTTGCACGTTTTTTGCACGTCATCCTATCCAAGGTGGCGTGCGGGAACTGCCCCAGGCACCACGAGTGATCTTCGATCGCGCTCCCAAGGAGAGCCCGAGATTGGAAGTGGTGCAGCCCTGAGCTGCAACGAGGAGCTACTGGCAGTACTGCAGTGAATCAATACGGTGAGTCTTCAACTTGGTTTGGCATTGCTTGGACTGCTTGGCATTGGCTTCCTGAAGCTGGTTTTGAGCCGCTTGAGGTTTTGATGTTTATTGTTTCAGTCGATCGTAGATTTGCATGAAATTTTGAACAATCGAAGTGCTTGAACATCGGACTATGAGAAATTGCATTTTTGAGGGCTGGAAAAGAGATCCAATGCATTCCAATGCATTCCAATGTTAAGTCGTTGAGACAAGCCAACTGCTTGAAGTGTCTCATTTGGACGGACTTTGGTCAGCCATTTGTGCTTCAAGCGACACCAAGCAGCACTGATCTCCCAACTCTGTGGCACTCCGTGGCATGCCGAAGCCTCTGTCCCGCCCCCCCTTCCATATTTGTGGAGGAGGACTGCAACGCTGCGCCACAGCCGGTCGAGAACCCCACTCAGATCCCTCTGGGTGAATCAATCCAGGGTCAAACTCTTTGGTGCGACACTCCAACTAACTTGGGAACCTATGACCAGTCGCGGCGCCTTCATGAAGCACTTGACTTCCCACCTCAGCCAATGCTTCTACCTCTTGAGAGCTGGCCTTGCAGAATGTCCCCCTTTGCAGTTGGTGCAGTTGGTGCAGTTGGTGCAGTTGGTGTTGGTGGCCCTGCCGGTGGCTCAGAAAACTCGGCTGGTGTCAGCCCTGTGTCAACTGGTCAACCCTGTGGTGACCCGTGTCAACCCTGGTGTCCCTGGATCTTCAGCCAGTGCCACTTCCAGCACTTCCAGTGCCTGTGCAGCCTGCGCGGCCTCGAGTGGCAACGGAGCAAAGTTCCGCCCCATGGAGGTGCGATGTGTGGCAACGCTGTGGCATGTGTGGCATGTGATTTTCATGTGTGGTATTCCATGACAGATCAGCCTTGGAAAGTTTTCATGTCGGATGGTCGGGTTTCGGGATTTGGGTAATTTACTTAGAGTTGGAGCTGAGTTCTTCAGCCCTGGCAGGAATGCCCATATGTGGCCGTGGGGGCCGTGGGCCAGTTGTGCCGGACTTCTCGACGTTCTCATTTGGGCCGCTGCAAGAGCTACCTGGAGGCAAAGAATCTGCGAATATCTGCGATATGAGGTGAAATCTTGTTTGAAATCTTGTTTGAAATTGTTTGAAATCTTGTTTGAAATTGTTTGAATGTTGTTGCTTCAGCTTCTGGGTGTGGCAGGGCAAGTGCGACCACAAAAAGTGCAAGTTCTGTTGTGGGCTGAGCAGATGCGACTGTTTGTACCTGTTTGAGACTTTGTGATTCAGTTTTCATCAAATTTCGTTGTCAAAGTCAAATTTCTTTGTTGAAAATAATGTCTCTCCCCACTTGGATCCCAAGGCCACTGCAATCCGCTGCAGAACCAGTGAGGCTCAAAATCCACGGGCCATGGCAGGCGGTTCACCATCACCACGTATATAGATTGCCCACAAAGTCCGAGTGCCAATCATGGTAACATCATGGTAACATCATGGTAGATTTTGGTTTTGGTGGGTCCTTATCCCTGTTTGATGAATTCAAGAGCAAAGATTCCGATCTTTGTAGGGCTAACATAGATTTGCACTTCAAGACGATTCAGCTTGGTTTGACATGTTTGACATGTTTGACCTGCTTCGTTTGAACATGGTTCGTTTTCATGTTCAATCTTCGGTCAATCTTCGGTCATCTTGCAAGTCTGTTGGCCGGACTCACCAGGCCAAAAGGCCGAAGATGAAACTTGTCGTGCTGAGTGGGAGGCGCTTTCACGGTGACCGCGCCAACCGAAGATGAAAGCTGTCAATGTTTAACTTCTTGTTCTGGGGCATTTCTCATTTGTTCTGCCAATGTCTGGTTCTGGTACAATGGGATGTATTCCAATGTATTTTACCTGCAACCGGATTGGTTAAAAATGTTAAAAGTTGGTTAAAACCGTGATTTCATTCTCTTGCCATCTTTGGGATACGGAGCAAGGAGACATGTGATTGCCGAATTGGAAAAGGGATAACCTCATACATCCTCATACTATAAACATCTATAAACCTACTGTGACAGTTCGATCTCAGTAATGGTCATCCAGACGACGATTCACTGGTTTTTTTTAGCTCAGGTAGCCTTTTTTTGGAGTGGATATTCAGAGTCAATCTTCGGAGGATTGTCAGGTAAAGTGTCAGGTAAAGTGTCAGGTAAAGTGTCATGGAAAAGATCAATTTAATGCCCTTTTTAGAAAAACATGGCAAAGTTCTTTCGCGACCTTTGCAGGCCCTGAAGATCTGATTGCAAGGGAATTCACAGAGGCAGAAGGTGCTTCTGCAAACAGCAGCGTGCTGGAGAAATGCTGAAGCACTCGCAACTGTTGTAGTCTGTTCAGTGCAATCTTCAGTGCGGCAGTACATTTCTTGCTCCAGCCTTACCATGCCAGACGGCCCAGAGATGAGTTTTTGTGGCAAGGATGGAAACATTGGCACCGATGTCAAACCTCCAAGCACGTAAACACCATAAACACCATAAACATCCGAAACCCTTGGAAAATTTGGTGCCACATTTCTTGCCACATGAACAGAGTTGCACCGGCAGGACAGAAATCAGGAAAAATTGTGCAAAGATGTGCAAAGTCTATTATTCAACACATTCAACCCAACTTGCAGAACTTATTGTGCTTCTTGGGGTGTGGGTCAAAATTTCAGGCTCAGCCAGCCGAATTTGTGGATTTTTAGAAGATTTTAGAAGTATCTTTTCTATTTTAGTCATACTTTGGTTGTACCCAATTTTTACCCATACCCTATTGAAACCTTTGTCCCGCCAAAGCTTTTGCGTAGTTCGTTGCGGCCAAAGTGATTTGCTACGCCATAGTGGCTAGAGTAGCAAATTCGCAGTTGAAATTGCATTTGTGGCAGAGATCAAAGACAGGTGTACCTGAACAACGACACCAAACTTTATCGATGCCATTTTTGGATGGGCAATGCTTTTCAAGCGGCCCATGTTGCCTGTAAAACTCAGTGCTTCCCGGCAAGTACTCGAACAGGCTTCGAGTTCCCATTATTTGGAACCCGGGACAAGTGTTGTCCAACATTTCGCCGGCGCAACTTTGCAATGAGCAAGATGCCATGACCTATTTTTGAATGCAATGGGTCTGGCAGGATTATGCAGCTGCGACTGCCGCAGGATACAAAACCGATAAAAACGGGTGCATAGGATACTGTTGCCATCTGTTGCCAACTCGGATTGATGTCCTATTTATGTAGCGAGATGTAGCGAGAATGCCTGTGAAATCGTCACCCGGCCGAGGCCGGGCGCTTCGCGTTTCACAGCAACGGTGACCTCTTCCTGAGGCGAGTCGCTCGTGGCAGGTGCTCGCATGACTCGCAATGTCATGCGAAATATCGATTCATGATATGATTGTTCATATTGTTCACCTATGTTCACCTGGTTGTTTAATTTTGTTTAATGTTGTTTATGTGTCAGAAATTGTCCGAAGGTATGTCACACCTTATCACATTGGGCTGTTAACACATGGTTTCGAAGCAATTGAAACGGTTTGCATCTTTCCATGGCTTTCCATGGCATTCCATGGTGGACGTTTGTCCGAGAATCACCAGGCCGCAATCCCCTCGGATCGTGTTCCCAACTGCGAAGGCGCAACGAGGCGGCCTGTGATTTTTCTGGGACACGAGTTCCACTATGTTCTGGCACTTTGATCGTTTTTTTCTACATCTTCTTCCTTAAGATTTGGCAATTTATCCACATTTATCCACTAGTTCTGGTTGATTGCATTGTGGACTAGCCAGAGATATCTCAAAGCAGCGCTAGTTGGTTGTCCCCATTTTTGACGAACATCAATGGATGGTTTGAAATGTTAGAAGACATCATGACAGTCATCAAAGATGTTCCGAGAACCGAGTGGCAGTCACGACAGCGCCCCTGTCAGGTGATGCCGATCGCTGTCGAACCAGCCCACCCCTTCGCAACTGCACCTGGGACAGCGGCAAGATAATTGGACAGATCTAATCATTCAACATGGAAGTAGATTCAGCAGTGGGGAATCAATCATTGTTCCATGTCCCTCAAAATCGTTGAACACTAGAAAATCCCAAGACTCGGAACCTCTCAGGTCGATGAAGAAAGCAGAAGGGCATTGACTTGACGTTTTGAATCTTAGGGCAAAACCAAACTGGGTATCTTCATGTATCTTCCATTTCTATCACCCAGGCCACTCACCTGGCATCGGAAGAAGAGAGGTGAGTTTCACCACTTCTCAGAGTGGCTCAGCTGGGTCATCCGTGGACTTTTGGGTCAAAATTCAAGGCCCAAGGGACGCAGATGGATTGGTTGATCTTTGATGATCTTTGGGTACCCCGACTTTGCAAACTTGAGAAGTACTTGAGCATACCCAGTGGTCATGCGTCAAGACTCAACCATTGCCGTGGTTCAGGAATGAGATACAGCCGGTCTAGCCATACACTGGGTGCAAAAAAATCGGGGCTTCCATATTCTTTAGCCAAACCCGTGTACCAAGGTGAGAAGTGGTTAACATCCCCAGATTTCGGTTTTCCGATGGACGGCAAGTGCTGAGGGGACACCTTCCAGTTCATCCCTGGGAAGTCTGAGGGAGCCGGTCGATTGTCCCTTGGACATGTCAGACCCGATGGTGGGTTGGATGGACCTCATCTTGGGATGCCCGTGTGGTTTTCTGACGCTTGACTCATGAAGGTTGATGGTTGATGGATGTTGATGGTTGATAAGTGAAATGAGCAGATTGCGATTGTGTTACCCCTCGCCTCTTTGCAGATTGAAACAACGTGAATTCTTACCACTCTTATAAGACTCTTACCCCTCTTCTCAGGTATTTTAGCCCACAACGTGAAAGATGTCATGGAGGCAACCGCCCAGATCTTTTTGGGCGCATTGACAGCATGAACATCTACCCCAGGTTTGTGAAACCATCACCACATCATTGAAACACCACAAGTGGGAAAAAAAAATGAAAAAGCGATAAAACTCGCGATGATCTCCGGCATGGGATGTTGCAGGAACCATCAGCGCCGCCAAGAGATTCAGATCCACCAGCCCCGGTGACCTGGCTCATCCTGGCTCCATGTTTGATGGATGGATATGGATGGATCATAATCCCCCAGATGTTTGATGAATTGGGATAAGATATGATAAGATGGGTTACAACACGTCATACAAAGAACTCGGAACCGGGACGTAGAAAATGGTGATATGATCGAAGGAAGTTTAGAAGTCAAACTTCCGACAATATGGACAGATGAAAAGCAGAGTAGGGCAGAGGCAGAGAGAAGAGAAAGATTAGAAGAGAGAAGAGTAGAAGAGAAAGAGTCAGAAAAAAGAAGATGCAGATGGGCGAAAAGGTAGGAAAGTCGCGAAACACTGTGTTTTTCCAATGAATTGTGGCTCCGGAGGGTCGAAAAGTAGGCTCGCTAAAGCGGCGGGCGCGGAGCCAGCTGGCCAGATGAGAGATGAAAAATTGCACGCCGTTGTGGCGCGAAGCACATTTCCAAGTCAAAATATACAAAACACCTCAGCTCCGGACCACTTTTGGAAGTTGAGATGTCGAAAAAGTGCACGCGGTTGTGGCGCGAAGCACATTTCGAAGTCAAAACATACAAAGCACCTCAGTGTCGGACCACTTTTGGAAGTTGCGATGTCGAGAAAGTGCACGCCGTTGTGGCGCGAAGCACATTTCGAAGTGAAAATGTTGAAAACACCAGGGGCTTGGACCACTTTTGGATGCTCAGATGTCGTTCCGCGTGGCAGGTGCAAGGGATTGTCCATCTTGTCGAAAGTGAGCAAAACGTGAGGGTTTTGTAGCATTTTCAACTGCAACCACCACCACACCACACTACACTCCAACACACTACACTACAACTACAACTACACCTTCACTACATTACACTACACTACACTCCGCTACACTCCACTACACTACATTCAATTACTCTCAATTACACTACACTACACTACGCTGCACTTTGCTACACTGCACTACACTACACTACACTACATCCCACTACACTACATTACAATACATTACGCTCCACTACACTCCACTACACTACATTACACTACGCTACACTAAATTCCACTACACTACACTACACTCCACTACACTACATTACACTACACTACGCTACACTACATTCCACTACACTACACGACACGACACTACACACTACACTACACTACACTACAACTACACTACACTCAATTACACTACACTACGCTACGCTACACTACACTACACTACACTACATTCCACTACACTACACTACACTACACTACACTAACTACAACTACAACTACAACTACAACTACAACTACAACAACTATACTACATTTACACTACGCTACACTACACTAATTACACTACACTACACTACACTACACTGCACTGCACTACACTACACTACACTACACTGCAACTGCAACTGCAACTGCAACTGCAACTGCAACTGCAACTGCAACTGCAACTGCAACTGCAACTGCAACTGCAACTACACTACATTACATTACACTACACTAATGACATTACACTACACTACACTACATCACACTACGTCACACGAACTACAACTACAACTATATAAGACTAGACTAGACTAGACTAGACTAGACTACACTACACTACACTAATTTCACCACACTGCACTGCACGACACAGAGAGAGATAGATGGATGCATAGATAGATAGGTGGGTAGGTAGGTAGATGGTCAGAGAAAGAGACAGAAAGAGAGAGAAAGAGAAGAGACCTCAACCACCTTTCGGTCCATCAGTGGCTTCGCTCTGCCATCCGTGATTCACGACAACCAACCTCTCCTATAGGTTTCCTATTTTTGAAACTTCCGCCGCCGCCTTGTGCGGTACTACTGGCGTGGAAACGTGGAAACGTGGAAACGTGGAAAGGTGGAAAGGTGGAAAGGTGGAAAGGTGGAAAGGTGGAAAGGTGGAAAGGTGGAAAGGTGGAAAGGTGGAAAGGTGGAAAAGTGGAAAAGTGGAAAAGTGGAAAAGTGGAAAAGTGGAAGTGGAAAAGTGAAAAAGTGGAAAAGTGGAAAAGTGGAAAAGTGGAAAAGTGGAAAAGTGGAAAGGTGGAAAAGTGGAAAGGTGGAAAAGTGGAAAAGTGGAAAAGTGGAAACGTGGAAACGTGGAAACGTGGAAACGTGGAAACGCGGAAACGTGAAAAATTGGAAAGGTGGAAAGGTGGAAAGGTGGAAAAGTGAAAAAGTGGAAAGGTGGAAAGGTGGAAAAGTGGAAAGGTGGAAAAGTGGAAAAGTGGAAAAGTGGAAAAGTGGAAAAGTGGAAAAGTGGAAAAGTGGAAAAGTGGAAAATTGGAAAAGTGGAAAAGTGGAAAAGTGGAAAAGTGGAAAGGTGGAAAGGTGGAAAAGTGGAAAAGTGGAAAAGTGGAAACGTGGAAAAGTGGAAACGTGGAAACGTGGAAACGTGGAAACGCGGAAACGTGAAAAATTGGAAAGGTAAAAAGGTGGAAAGGTGGAAAAGTGAAAAAGTGGAAAAGTGGAAAGTGGAAATGTGGAAAGGTTGGAAAGGTGGAAAGGTGAAAGGTGAAAAGTGGAAAAGTGGAAAAAGAAAAAAAAAAACCCCCCCGGCCCCGTCCAGACGGCAACCCATACCCCCCGCACCGGCTAACGCCGCAACACCAACCTACCACCCAAAGGCCCACAGACGCACAACGGCGAGGGACGAAACTTAGAAAATGCCGCACAAAAGGCAGGGCAAGAAGGTACTGTTCCGAAACCCCAGCAGGTTCCCAGCGTACCACATCCAAATCCCCGCCCGCGGCGATCAACACCGCCTTTTCCCCTTATTCCTTTCCCCTTATGTCCCCTTTTCCCGCTTTCCCCCTTTTCCCCTATTTCCCTTTTTCCGCCTGTTTCCCCTTTTCCCCCTTTTCATTTTCCCCGTTGGAAAGTGGAAAGGTGGAAAGGTGGAAAGGTGGAAAGGTGGAAAGGTGGCAAAGTGGAAAAGTGGAAAAGTGGAAAAGTGGAAAAGTGGAAAAGCGGAAAAAGTGGAAAAGTGGAAAAGTGGAAAAGTGGAAAGGTGGAAAGGTGGAAAGGTGGAAAAGTGGAAAGGTGGAAAGGTGGAAAGGTGGAAAAGTGGAAAAGTGGAAAAGTGGAAAAGTGGAAAAGTGGAAAAGTGGAAAGTGGAAAAGTGGAAAAGTGGAAAAGTGGAAAAGTGGAAAAGTGGAAAGGTGGAAAAGTGGAAAAGTGGAAAAGTGGAAAAGTGGAAAAGTGGAAAGGTGGAAAGGTGGAAAGGTGGAAAAGTGGAAAAGTGGAAAAGTGGAAACGTGGAAACGTGGAAACGTGGAAACGTGGAAACGTGGAAACGTGGAAACGTGGAAACGTGAAAAATTGGAAAGGTGGAAAGGTGGAAAAGTGGAAAAGTGGAAAAGTGGAAAAGTGGAAAGGTGGAAAAGTGGAAAAGTGGAAAAGTGGAAAGGTGGAAAGGTGGAAAAGTGGAAAGGTGGAAAAGTGGAAAAGTGGAAAAGTGGAAAAGTGGAAAAGTGAACATTTTAAATGTGTCAAGTGTGAAAAGTTGCCAGTTGGAAAAGTGGAAACTTGGAAAAGTGGAAAAGTGGAAAAGTGTAACAATTTTAACAGGTGGAAAAGTTTACCCGTTGCCCAAATTGGTGTGACAAGTTTCCATTTTTCCCAGTTGGCAACCTTGTCCCCGTTGCACCCCTTTTCCACTGGTTTCCCCTTGTCCCTTTTTACAAGTGTCCTGTTTTTCCCTTTTGTCCCCTCAATTTTCACCTTTTCAACCTTTTACACATTGGGAAAAGTGGAAAAGTGGAAAAGTGGAAAGGTGGAAAAGTGGAAAAGTGGAAAGGTGGAAGGGATTCGTCGGATTTCGATCCCTTTCAGCTGCATTTGGCCAAGGCATCACTGACCGCAGCCCTGGGCCCCAAACCTACAGGCATATCACATGGGGCTGGGTAGCATCCCAAGAGGTTGCGCTGTTCAACGACCAACAAAACGGCTGATGGTGACTTCCCCAAGATGATTTCTGATATAAAATCCCAAGAACCTTGGGGTAGCAGTCATCAATCAAAGCATGATGAATTTGCCCGACACCTCTCAATCATCCACCAATCCACCACTTTAGTTTGATCTTCGCTTTGAGATGCTGAGATGTCGTCCCTTCAACTGATGGCCCATTAACTGATTCTTGGGTTGCTGACATCTCATCATCCATCAACTGCTTAAGGGGCAATTGGCATTGTGTTTGCTGTGAAAAACATTGTTTCTTGATGTTTCCTGTAGATTTCCCCTTCAAATCGTTCATGGCTTCCATATGCCTAGATTCCTACCTCTCATGAATGTTACAAAGTAATCAATGTTCTCTTTAACTCCAATTCAATCAATACATAGTTTCCTCATCAAAAAAGATCCATGGATTTCATGCAGTTTCCCGGATCGGTGGATCTTTTGGCTCAGCTTCGAGGGAGAATGGCTCCACTTCCGGGGCTCCGGCCACGGCGCGTGCGGCGCGTGCACCTGGCGCTGCCCGCCGTTGCGCTGGGCGTCGTTGCGCTGGGCGTCGTTGCGGGGCCCACCTTCCTGGCACCGAAGAATGGCGGTCACGGCACTCACGGCACTCACGGCACTCACGGCACTCACGGGGTGCCTTGTCGAAGGGAAGCAGAAAATGCCAATGCCACAGCATGCCACAGCTCTTCGATGTTTCTAATGATTCTAATGTTTCTGTTAAAACAAACGAAAACTGAAGATGATCCAAGGCATGGCTCGCACCGTGGCTGGCCATGACCTCCCCGGTCTTTGCCGAGTCCGACGCGGCTTCGGTGGGTTCCGTGGGTTCCGTGGGCTCGACGCAGTCCATCGAGGACATGCTGATGGACCTGCTGAACAAAGCCACCGGTGGTGCCGTGGACGTCCCGACGGATGGCTCTACGCCTTCCCTTCTTTTCCTGGGCCTAGGAGATTTGGCTCGAAAGTTTCCGAAAGAGTTGAGGAGATGATGTTTAATTATGTTTAATTTCTAGATTTTGCAGGAATGTCTTTTTGGGTTTGGAGGATCTGAGTTTGCTCTTGGCTTTGGAAAACCATAGGTGTTTCTTAATGTTTATTTCATCATATACAGATTATACAGTCTTTGGGGAGGTTTATGCATCCACATCCAGGGAGCTTTTCTTAGCCAAGATTCCAAGATCAACTCCTCAGGAGCTTTCCTGCTTTACGGCGTCTTCGCAGTCCTGAAATTCGTCCTGGCCGCGGTGGGCGGCTTGTTTGTGGTGCGCGAAATCGATCAGCAGTTCGGCAAGGAAGGCCGCAAGACCTCCAAACTGGTGGAGAAGGTGAAGAAAAACATCGCTGGTGCTGATTTTCATGTTTTTTTCTGCACATTTTTGAATTTCTGATCGTTTGTGTGTTGGTTTGCATAACATCTGCTTTCCCCAAACCATTGAAAAAACGTGTCCATCTCCACCAGTTGGATCTCTGTAGGCCTTGAAGCGCTTCGCCGGTGAACCCGCCGACCTCTTGGAGGAGCGACGGCTGAAGGTCGTGCGCCTCAACGACGAAGTCACGGCCTTCCAGGCAACGGAGACATCAAGCTTTTAGAATCACACTAAACTAGTGATACTAGTGATACTAGTGATACTAGTGATACTAGTGATACTAGTGATGTAAAAATTGTATATTGTTTTATCGTATCAACATGTATCAACATCCTCATATAAAATCTTTAGTTAAGACTTAAGACCTTCCAATCAAGTTACAATAACTTGTAATGTAATATTATCTTCAATCCAATCAGTTTTTGCTAATCATGATGCAATGGCATGCAATGGCATGCAATGGCATGCAATGGCATGCAATGGCATCATAACCACGAAAGATCACAATTTTCGACGAAATGTCGAGTTGCCGGCCACGCCGAGCGGTTCCACAGGCCTCGCTGGCGGAGCAGGTCAGTGGCCCCTCAGCGGGTGCTGCGCTGCGTGACAGCGCGCGTCGGAAGCGCTTCGTGGTGCTCTGGCAGCGGATCTTGGACGACGTGGCCATGACCGACGTGGAGAGGTGCCGAAAATGGCTGGTGAGGCATCCACTGAATGGGGAAAGTATAGTTACTATGGAGAAAGATGAGGGTAGGAACCATTTTGGTGACAACTAAGCAGCAAACCTTGTGATTTACTCAGCTTTTTCTTTTCCCCTGTGGAAAGGCAGAAAGTGGAGGATGCGGTGCAGAAGTATTTGAAGGAGGATTCTGGATGGTTGTGGTAGTGGCAGTGGTGTTGGCTGGTAATGTATGGTGGGAGAAGGCTTTATTGGTGCAGGGTGGATGTTGGGAAGAGGGGGAAAGGTCAATATGGTGGATGTGGTGATGGATGGATGGAGTTGCTGACTTTTTGGGATTTGAACACAATATGTCAATATGCATACTTTTTTAAATCTTTTCTTTTGGGTGTATTCTGCCAATTCGAACGGGCGAAGTTGAGGTTGCAGCAGCCGCAGATGATCGCTTCAAAACATGATTTTGTTGAATCCCCTGGCACCGTCTTCCCAGCACATCCCAGCACCACAGGAGCGCGAGCGGCAGGAGGATTTTCGCACTGCCCGATCTGAGTGGCTCAGTTCGTTGTTCGAGAACTCGTTTTTCGGGACGATGTCCAACCGCTACCGAGTCACGGGGTCGTTGGACAAGAAGATCCGTCTGCAGGAGGAGTTGATTAGCAACATTCGCAAAGCGCTGCCGGATCAGAAGAAGTTTTCCAACGTCAAAAAAGTTCTGGGAGAAGTGGATCTCTCCTGGTTGACCGATAAAGATCAAGATGATCATCAGAAAATTGAGGCGCCAAAGACAGTTTACGTGTTGAGCTTCGATGGAGATCCCACGGCTGCGGGCGTTAGTTTACTGCAGCAGGCTGGCTGGCTGGTGGGACGGGGAAAGAACCTTGTGACCAGAAGAAATAACGAAATAGACTAACTAAGACCAACTAAGACTAACTAAAACTAGTTGTGTTAGGGAATTGAATGATCTGCATCTGGATTTGCAACTGTTCATTCAGTAGATCCCAATTTTTTCCAGCAATTGTTCAACACATGTTTCAACGCATGTTTCCAAACCATGTCAAAACACATATTCAAACCATTTTTCTCCGTTCTCCACCGGTGATTCCGAAACGTTGGGACATGTTGGGACTCAGGAAGTGACCGCCATCCTGGAGTCCAACGTCAAGCCTGAAGAGGTCATCCTGAAGCTGAAGAGCCCAGGAGGCTCCGCCGACCTGAAATCTTGGGATCATATAGAATTGCTCGTCAAAAGTATAGAATATATATAATATTATACATATGTTAATCTAGTTTAGACATGTATAGACATGCACAGAAATGTATAGAAAAGATTTAGATTTACTAATTATGGTTCAAAAGACCTGGGGTTGTCCCCAAAGAATGGAGGGTTTATTGGCCTTGGCGATTTCGATGGGAAAGAAAGGGGGAGAAACTTTACAATTTCAATGGGCTGCTTATTTTGACATGTTGATTGTTTCTTTTGGAGCTGACATGGGATCTAAAATCGCTTTGTTTCTTTACTTGAAACCTGCAGTCAGAACAAATTAAAACCAACTGGCCGGACCCTTTGATACCGCTAATATTTGGCTGGTGCCAATCATCTCAGACTTGTCTGGCAATTCAGCAAAATCACCAACTGCAGTTCTTGTTAATTCTGTGAAGTAAGCCTGTGAACCATTGGGCGCACTTTAAGGAACATGTATCCAAGCTTCAATTCAGCAGTGCTGGCCATGTGAAACATGTTGGATGTTGCAGGACATTCTAAGGGCCATGTAAAACTCCAGTTCGAACCATGTCTTTCTCGTCTTTCTCGTCTTTCTCCATGTCAAGACATGGCCATTTCTTGGCATCTCACCGTTCTTTCCCCGTTCCTTACACCGTTCTCACCGTTCCTTACCGTTCCTTCCCCAGGCACGGTGACGGGCTACGGCCTGGCGGCGGCTCAGCTGCTGCGCTTCCGGCAGCAGGGCGTCCGGCTGGTGGTTTGCGTGGACGAGTTGGCGGCCTCGGGGGGGTACATGATGGCCTGCTGTGCCCACAAAATCCTGATCTCCCCATTTGCGGCCGTGGGATCCATTGGTGTGTCCCATGTCAACTTTTGAGAGTTTGTCGGATTTTGTCGGATTTTGGGAAGTAGTTGGCTACAGGTTGGCTACAGGTTGGCTATAGAATGCTATAGAATGCAACATAAAATTGTAGTTGGACGTGTTTGCATGTGTTTGCTGAGTTTTTGAGCTTGGAGAAATCGGAGATGTGCTCTGGGTCAATCTGTTTCCAAGTCGCCGTGAATTCATGGACTTTTCGGAGCTTTGCCCGTCCTTGCGTCCTTGCCCTAGGATCAGTGGCGTCCCCAACGCCGTGGAGCGCCTGGACCGGGAGGGGCTGAAGGTGATCCAGACCACGGCGGGCAAATGGAAACGAACCATCGATCCTTTCCAGGCGCCAACCCCTGAAGCCTTAGCCAAAGCCGAGGAGGACCCCCGTCGCTGGTGGCAGATGGTTGATGGATAGTTGATGGATAGTTGATGTTGAATGATGTTGATGGATGATTCCAGGATGTTCACACTGATGAAACATGATGAAACGATGCAGGGAAGGACCAAGTGATGGGACCAAGTGATGAATCTTCTCCAATCCATTGATCACATGTCACATTTCCACATTGGGGATATGGGTCCAAATTGTCAACCTGAAGGATGGTCAAGGATGGTCAAGTTTAGTCGATTTAATCATATTTAATCATATTTAATCATATTTAATCATATTTAATCCTAGAATATCTATGAATATCTAAAATGGACGAAATTTGGGTCGCCGAGTCGCCATTTGTGCCACCTGCAGGACGTGAACCGGATCTACCGGCAGTTCTCCGGCTTCGTGAAGCAAAACCGTCCCAATATCGACATCGAGGCAGCCATGGATGCCATGGCAGGGTTTGATGGGTTTTGTGTATGCCACAGCATGATAGATCCAATGAAATCCAGGGGCTCGAAATCATGCTGTGGCACAAATGACACGGGAATTATGGAATTTTTGCATGCGCTGAAGATGACTTTCTCTGTTTCATCGATTCGCTGGTGCAATCAATGAACCTCAAGGCCAAATGTAATGATAATACATGAAGTCCAGACCAAATCTATGACACCGAACCCCTGACCTGAAAAGTATATAAACATGTATAACTATTGCTATATAACATCATATAACATCATATAACTTATCATATTGTAAAATCACCTCACATAAAACACACTGTAATATAGCATGTACTTGGTAGCTGTTGCGGCTCAGGTAAAAAGGGTTTGAGCTGCAGATGCTTAGCGGTATTTTCCCCACTGTTGTGTAGGTTTATCAGTCTATTTGGGATAAGTAAATTTCCCCGCTGAAACCTGAAAATACAGGTTATCAGCCGTAGTCTCTAAAGCCATGGACAAAACGCATGACGCTACAGGTGGAGGTGCCCTTGTCCCTTCGACTGGAACAATAGCTGCATCAACTGGTTCACAACAGAGCTTGCCGGCTGGGACAAACCCCACGCCCATGTCAGTGGATGAAGGTTTCTTCACACAGCCCGTGCAAGCCTATTTCCAGTTCGTGCAAAACAATCTTACCTACATCAACGAAGGTAACATTGATGCTTTCAGGCAAGAGGCAGAGGAGAGGCACACACATCTCATGGAACAAAAGGTCCAGCAACTGTACCAAGAGTTCGAGGGAATTTGCCTTAGCGAAATCGCCCATCAACGTGCAGAAGCTGATCGCAGACATGAACACCTAGTGTCAGAGTATTCAATGTCCCAAACGGCAACTGAGCATGAGGTAGCAAAACTGAGACAGGAACTTAGCGATGCAAACGCAAAGCTAAAGAATGCTGCAAATGCAGTTGCACTGGAAGCTGAACAAAGAGCCAACCAAAAGGTAGCCCATGTTACAGCCCAGTACGAACAAAGGTTTTCTGAACTCAGAGGTAGCCTCGAGGCAGACTGTAAACGAATCGTGGACGAAACAGTGGAGTATGCAAAGAATGGCATGGAAGGTTTCAAGAAGGAGGAACAAGCTGTAATCCAGGAGATTAGAGAGGAATGCAGTAGGCAGGAAAACCAAGCTGCTGAACTCAACTTCCAATTGCAGGGACAAGTGGAGGATTTGATGGAGAAGCTCAACAAGTACAGCGCCCCGGAAATCAAGGTCGACAGCCGTCGAAGTTGATGATTCACAAGGCGGGAACAATGTCGATTTGTACATGACCCCAAAATCAGCGGTCGGTACCAAGGCTGGAGCAGAACCCATGCCAAACACTGGTATGAGTAGCTTAGCCATGGACGCAAAGGAAAGGTTGAGCAACTTGTTCTCAACTACCCCTGCCGGATCAGCAGCCCCTCCAAAACTGCCACCATTGCCAGTTCAAAGACAAAATGATGATGATGCAAACCAAGAACATAGTGTGCCCAGTCCTACAGTAATAGCAAGCGACCCTGGCAAGAAAGCAGCTGAAGCAGGCTTAGGTCTTTCAGGTCAACAATTGCTAGATCTCATCACCAGACTGACTTCAAAGGATTCAGATGGTGAAAAGCCCCGAACAAAAGAGGCAGAGACTATCAAACTGAACGACATGCCTGCCCCAGAAGCGTATCGTCACTGGCGTAATCATGTCAGGGACGAAGTCAAGTCGTGCTCCGACAAACCCGATGAGGCTTGGCTTTGGCTCAATGAAGTCTTTGACAACAAAACCCCTAGGGAAAAGTTGGAGGAAAAGCTGCAGGAACCTGGGAAATTTATCACACTTGACACCAAATTGTCGGCAGCGTTAACTCGCTCGGCCAAAGGTGATTTAGCAACAAAGATCCACAACTTCAAAGATGAGAAGTCAAAGAAAGGGATCCAAGTCAGAGGTAGGAGAGTCCTTTTGATGTTTGAAGATTACTTCAGGACGTCTGAGGAAGCTGGCAGTCTCTACCGCGTCGAGGACCTACTTGGAGTCGTTCGCACTGGAGAATCTGTGGCGGACCTTAGAAGGTTTCTGAACCGATGGAACGCCACAATTGCCGGCATGGAAACCCCGCCAGATGATTTGGTTCTCAGAGACATCTTACTCAGACAAATCCGAAAATGTCAATTGATGAAGTATGACATCGAAGCATTTGACAGAGCTCCTGAAAAGTCAGAACAAAAGTCTTATGCATTCTTGTTGAGAAACATTCGTGATCTTTTGGATAGAGAAAGACTCCGTTCAAACAGAAACAGAATCGTTGAAAAGAACAAGCAGACCGAAAAGCCTCAGCCCGCTGCACCCGCTCAGGGGGGCAAAGATCGCGGCAAAGGAAAGGGCGACCGAGGTCGAACCCGTGGTCGTAGCCAGAGTGGAAAAGGGGATAAAATATGCTACAAATTCAGGGATGGCAAGTGCGAAAAGGGTAAAGATTGTCCCTACAAGCATGTTAAAGATTCCTCAAGATCTGGCACCCCCAAAAGGAAGGGTAAGGGCAAAGGTGGTAGCAGAAGTGGTTCCCCCAACAGAAAGTCGAAGGAAGAGATGGCCAAGATCCCATGCACTTACTTTCAACAGGGCAAATGTCGTCGTGGTGACAAATGTTTTTACAAACATGAAGTTGCAGCTGCACCCACAAAGGATCCAAAACGCACCAATAGCCCTGCACCAAAGAAGAAGGCCAGTGCAAAAGCTGCGCCATGCATTACTCAAAGGTATGCATGCATAGCAAAGGGAAAAGGGTTGCCGAAAGCTACGAAGGCCATGAAAGAACAATGCCATAGAGCTATTGTGTTTTCATCAAAAGTGGAATACATCAAAGTCCCAGCAACAGGTGAACAGAGGAAGGTAGTGCACAAACCCCGAATCTATGAGAAGACGTCCCCTGATTCAGAGTCAGTGCCAAAACCCGACAAACTCGTGGCTCACCGTGCTCAGGTTTCGGCCCGACAGTTGCAGGAACTTGTGAAGCTCTTCGGCAGTGAGACGCAGCCCAAATGCCGATTCCGATGCAATGACCCAGAAGGGGGAGTATCGTGCAACCACTGTAGAGCAATGATTGGTCCCAAGAACAAAGTCAGTAACACTCATTTGCCCACTGTTGCTACACCGGCATCAAAAGATGGATGTGTTTGGTTGGTTGACACGGGCAGTGAACAGGATTTGATTAGTGAGGGTATGCTGAAGACTGCAAAGGCGACAAACCGCCGTGTCAGCGATACCCCAATCAGCCGTGCTACAGCGAACGGTTCGACACGAGCGGATGAGGTGGCCGACGTAAAAGTCGATGCCCTACATCAGCCATTCTCACCATACATCCTCGAAGAAACTCCTGCTGTTCTTTCGGTTGGTGTCAGGTGTATGGAACAGGGTTACAGTTTTGTGTGGCCAGCTGATGGTAGGCCTTACTTCATTCGTCCGGACATGGGAGTCATTGAGCTTAACGTAGACGGCCGTGTGCCGGTCATCGATAGCTCTTGTCGTGTTTTGAACAGTGGACAGTTCAAGAAAGATTGTGATCTGTTACGTCTTTTTGCAATGGTTGCTGCAAAAGCAGAAGGTGCCGATGAAGAAGGCGTGGATGAGGGAGTAGCTCATGATAGCGAAACCGAGTACGTCAGGTCTAGAAAGGCATCTGACCTTGAGCAAGAGGCATGCAGCAAGTCTCACCAGTTTTGCCATTACCCCAAGAATCCATTTTGCAAAATCTGTCAGAAGGCGCGCATGATGGCGCCACCCGCAAAGAAGAAAGGGGGACAGAAGAGGTTGGAAACCAAAAGTTTTGGGGATCACACTGTCGCTGACCATACTGTAATCAAATCCAATGTGGAAGAAGGCGTCAAAGGTGAAACAGTGGCATTGGTGATGAAGGACATTCACACTCAGTTCAGGCACGTCTATCCAAGTCAGACAAAATCGAGTGAATCATGTGTTAATGCTTCCAACCACTTCTTATCTCACAAGGACGAAGTTGGGGCAGTTTATACTGACAATTCACGAGAGCTTATTGCTACAATTTCAGAGTTGGGGTACAGACATCAAACTTCAACAGAGTATGTGGACAGTTCAAAGTCGTTTGTGGAGAGGGAGATCAGGCACATGCTTGAAGGCACGCGCACAAACCTCGTGCAGTCAGGTCTTCCATTGCAGTATTGGCCAATGGCTATGCAGCATTTCTCCATGGCAGTGAATGCCACGCCACAGCTCAACGGTGATGATGCCCCATGGAAACTCAGATTCGAAGAAGATTTTCCAGGTCAGTTGATTCCTTTCGGTGCAAAGATACTGTTTTGGAACAATCCAAAAAGGGTTGACAACACATCTGGAAAGACATCACCAACAGCAAATGATGGAATCTTTTTGGGATACCATATTCAACCTGGTTTTGCATGGAAGGGTGAGTATCTTGTTGCCAAGTTAGAAGCATTGGATTACCATGCAGAAACGGGCAGCATCACAGTGCAGCGAGCACGACGTGTTGAGCTCATCGCGGGAGGTTTTGTCTTCCCACTCCGTGCATTCTGAGACCACAAAATGCAGATATATGCACTTTAGGCACTTAATGAAGTTATAAGTATACTATAAGTTTCTATTATCCTTCTAATATCTTGCTCATATTGTTTTTTCAAAAATATTTTGTTATAAGTTCCACTAAATTTTTAGGTGAACTTATGACATAATAAGGAAGATATAAGCAAATATAGTAGAATATTAGTCAAAAATAAGCGAAAAGAAGTGATAAGAAGCAAAATTTGATTTGGAGAAATATTTTGAAACTCAACATGAAGAGTCCCTTTTCGACGAAGCCATTTTGTCTTAGAGCCCATAGGGCAAGTTCTCGAGCCATGTCTGCGTTGGAGCGTTTGGCAAAGAAAAATATTGTAGGGAACAGTTCTCTGCAGGAAACTTCCTGTGAAGAAAAAAATCGTGTAGGGGCCAGTTTTCTGATGAATACTTCCTCTGAAGAAAAAAAATGTGTAGGGACCAGTTTTCTGATGAATACTTCCTGTGAAGAAAAAATCGTGTAGGGACCAGTTTTCTGATGAATACTTCCTGTGAAGAAAAAATTGTGTAGGTACCAGTTTTTTGATGAATACTTCCT